ACACATTTATCTTCAGCGATCATGTCAGGAAGGTGAGCATCACAGAATGCTGGATTGTTAGAACAAAGTGTTCTAGTGTTGAGGGAGCACTTGAGTTGAGGCCCAATGTCCATCTGCAACCTTAATCCTTAACATACAGATATGAGTACATAGTTCTATTCCCCTCTCATGGAAAAATGCATCTTGATAAATGAACAGTTCTGGTTTCAGTTACTAACTCTGAAGAACAATACATACAACTTGACCCCGAAGACCAGAGACCAGGGCCTAGTGGCAAGCACACTCACTCGGGATAGGCAGGGTCCAGGATGCGGAGCAGCAGCTGAATGAGAAGGCCATAGAAATTCAGACATCTTCTCAGGAAACTCTCGTCAAGTAAGCCAGCGTCAGCACAGGCTTTGCACCGTACCAGTTTCTGCAGAAGTAGGTATGAACCCCCGGAGATTAGTCATAGCTAAGTAACTGTTGTATGACTGGGTAGGGAATGAGTTCAGGAGCTGGGAACGTGAAGTTTTAGGGCTCTATCTCTAGCTGCGGGGAGCTGATCGTGTCTCAAGATTTTCCTTTGAGACAAATTAAAAGGCATGCTGTGCAAACCTGAGTACCAAACCCAGTACTGAGCTAGAGCTGCAAAAGCTTAGTTACGACTGTTACACCGAAGGAACCCAACTTGGCGAGGAGGGGTCGCTGGGACTCAGAGGTAGTTAGTGAGAAGAAGGTAGACATATACACATCTCCACTCTAGCCTCATTGCTAATAGCTGGTCTTGGGCGAAACTTTGCATCCTGAAGAAGCCTAGTCTACTAGGAACTAAAACTGGCTCCTGTACCAGAATGGAGCATCGGGTACGATGCCTACATCATATTCGGCTTTTATCACTGAAACCAAGGACACATGCATAAAGGGAGTCCACCCAGCCTTTATTGTTCAACCTCAGCCAGCAATTGTCTTTAGCTATAATGTCTCATAACCAGAAATCTCCCCCAATGTGGAGTTAGGTTCTGTGTGACAGATCGTTTTAAATTAAAATGAAGAAATGGGTGCAAAGGATAAAGGCCTTCCCATGACCATGAATCTGCTGGCTAGATTCAAACATCATGGAAAGGCACAGCTGGATATGCTGGAATGAATGAGTAAGGGTGTTTGTTAGGGAGGGAAGTTGGGAGAGGGGAGGGAATGATACTCGAGAGAGGAAAACCCAGCTGCAGTGCTGCCTGCTGGCACCGGCATCAGGACATTACACTTCCTTGTTTTGACCCACGGCTTAAATAATTATATAAAGACACATGAATGTCTCAACACATTTTAAGATGCACTATATTCTCCAGAGGGTGGGGGAAGAACGAAGAGAAATGAAAAAAACAAAACAAAACAAAAAAAACCCAACTGGAGCATAACAAACTATCCCCTTAAGATACATATTCTGGTGGGAAATGGACTATTATGAGGCTGGTCTACAATTATTCCAGTTAACTACACAAACCTTCAGCTGAGTTTTGCAGCGTTTCAGCATTTCACGGTGTCTAGTCGCCAGAGGGGAATCTTTCCATTGGCTTTCGTTATTTTTCAAATCTTCCACAGTCCTGGAATCAAAGACTAACAGTTCAATAAAGGAAATGCACAGATCCATCTTACTCATCTTGATCATGAGATTGACACTCTACCTCCAAACCAAACTAACTGCTAATGAGTCGATGTCAACTCAGACACCCCCATGGGAGTGGGGAGAACGGCCCCTGTGGGTGTCCGAGACTCGCTGCTTTTGGAGTAGAAGCCCCTCTTGCAGCCCACAGCCCTACATAACCACTTCACCGCCAGGACTCCTGCGTGACACGTTTTTCTATTCACGTCTTTAAAATCACGCCCTATCTTTATGGTAACTAGGGTCGGTGTGCCAGCTTTTGTCACTCCTAAAACACTGCTGTCTGACACAGATGGCACTCTGCTCTTCTAGTTGGGCTCTGTGGAATTGACTTTGACTCACAGCCATCCCATGCGACAAAGGAAAACACCCCCCAGGTTTTCTAGGCTACCATCTTTACTGTACCCTATCACCAGGTCTTTCTCCCGGGGGCCACCGGGTTTGTTCAAACCACCAACCGTTCAGGGAACAGCGGTGCACCTCACTGGTGTGCCACCAGGGTGCCTTGATGTGGAAGCGGCAGCCAAGATAGCCAACACCAGGAACAGCTAACAGTTTCCTTGTTAGCTTTTCTGATATTTTCAATGGCCTCATCTGCACGTGAAAGCTAAACATGAATGAGAAAGGTGGGAGAAGAGCTGATGCATTTGAATGATGGTGTTGGTGAAGAATACGGAAATTATCATAGACTACCAAAGGAACAACGACAACAAAAACTTGTCTTGAAGAAAGTACAGCTAGAAAGCCTGTAGAAGCAAGGACGGCGAGAGTAATTCGGACACACGATCAAGGGAGCCCAGTCTCTGGAAGAGGATGGCACACCTGGCAAACTTGAGGGTCGGCAAAAAAAGAGAGCGCACGAGAAAGACCCTCAGTTGCACATAGAGTGGCTCAGTTGGAGCCAACGGGATAGCTCCTAATGAATACAACACCACTTGTTCATGGCAGTGGCCACACTTGTGAGGTGTCGACATTCTCAGCACTTCCATTTTTGTTGCTGCTGTGGTATGCTTCCATTAATCTACATTTCCTACCCCTTCTCACCTTGGCTGACTATTTGGTCAATAAACAAAATCAATTAAAGTACTATATGCCAGCAGCAAGCATCAGCCACAACCATAAAACTAGATACTTTGGGGTAATGTATCGAAAGATATGCAAAACTTGTACACACAAAGTTTCAAAAACACACTGAAAGCAATGAAAGGCCTACACAATGGAAGAACACACGGAGAGGGGTCAAGACAGCCTGGAAGAACAGGGTCAGAGCACCAATTCCTGGGTCCTAGTACGGAGTTTCACGAATAAGCCAGGGTGGCACAGACAAGGCGGACAAGGACCCAGTCAGCGGACTTCAGATACAGGCTCACAGCTAGTCACTGCTGCAGAAAGCTGTGGGCGCAGTAAACGGGACCACGTCAGCTGGATGATGTTATGTAACAAAATGGAATTGTCTCTTACTGCACACCGTATCTAAAATTCAAATCGGGTAGACTGTAGACCTGAAAAGAAAGTTGTCAATAAGGCATGACAAAGCATCTTAAAAATAACAGGAAAATATCCTCATGGCAGGTGGTTACTGTCAGGTGACATCTAGTCAGTTTTGACTCTTTGTGACTCAGTATACCATCCTCACAACTGCTGTTCTGTCTGAGCCTGTTGTTAAAGACACTGTGTCTTACTCATGTTCCCTGACCCTCACTTTACCAAGCACGCTGTCCTTTTCAGTGGCCCCTCCTAGAAACATGTCCAGAATCTGCGAGACAGTCTCAGCATCCTCTCACCTAAGAACATTCTGCCTGTGCTTCTTCCAAGATGGATTTGTTTGTTTTTCTGGGTGTCCGTGGTACATATTCAATATTCTTTGCCAACACTACAATTCAAAGGCAGCAAATAACCTTTGGTCTTCCTTATTCACTACCCAGCTTTCATATGCACACGAAGCCATTATAAATACCAAGGCTTGGGCCAGACACACCTGAGTCAAAGTGACAGCTCTGATCTTTAACACATTAATGGGTCTTGTGCAGATTTGTGCAATGCAGTATGTCACCTGGTCTTCTGACGGCTGCTTCCAGGAGTGTTGATTGTGGATCCAAGTAAAATGAAATCCTTCACAACTTCGATCTTTTTTCCATGCATCGTGATGTTGTCTATTGACCCAATTTTAAGTGCTTCAACTACTTTTTGCTTTCAGTAAGCAAGGTTGTGTCATCTGCATATCAAAGATTGTTAATGAGCCTCTCTAATCCCAGTGCCGCATTCTTGTTTCATATAGTCCAGTTTGTCACACAACTTGCTTGGCATATAGGTTGAATATTTATGATAAAATAATATACAATCCTGAAACATACCTTTCCTTATTTCCAACCAGGCAGTATCCAGTCTTCTCTGGTAGCTCCTTGTTGATGTACTGCAGCAAGCGTGGTTGAAATTTTGCTTTCCTGCGCAGCTTTTGCATTCCGTTACGTCACCTTTCTTCTAGTTGGCTGGACAAATAGCTGCCTTCCAGATTTCTTGGCAAAGATAAGAAAGTGCTTCTACCTTCCAGCGTGACACTAGTGCTGGGCACATTTCAATGAATGCTCCATCGGTTCTTGTTTTTTATTTGTTTGTTTAGCCAATGCCTTCAGAGCTATTTGGTCTTCTTCCTTTGTCAATACTATCTGGTTTTGATGGTTCTTGAAATGGTTGCATGTTGGCCAATTCTTTTTGGTAAGATGGCTCTGTATTCTTTTCTTCTTCTTTCGAAGTTTCCTGCTTCATTCAGTACTGTGCACATGGTATCTTTCAATATTGCAACTCACGGCTTGAATTTTTTCCTTCAGTTCTTTCAGCTTGAGACATGCGGAGTGTGTTCTTATCTTTGGATTTTCTGACTCGGGTATTTGCACATTCCATTAAACTGCTGCTTTGCTTTCTCAAGCTGCACTTTGAAATTTTCTGTTCAGCTTTTTACTTCATTATTTCTTCCATCACGTCTACTAAGCTTCAGAAGCTCTTCTGACATCTATTTTGGTCTTCTCTTTTTCATCTTTTTAATGCCTTTTTGCTTTTTTCATGTATGATTTCTTGTTATCAACCCACAACTCATCTGGCCTTCTACCATTAGCCTCCAAGGTGTCAAATCTGTTCTTGAGATGCCCTCGAAATTCAGATGGAATATATTCCAGGCTATATTTTGCACTTATTTTAATGTTATTCAGCTTCAACCTGAACTTGCATAGGGGCAATTGATAATCTGTTCCACAGTGGGCCCTGGTCTTGGTTTGGCTGATGTTACTGAGCTTCTCCATCATCTCTTTCCACATACATCATAGATTTGAATCCCGTGTATTACATCTGGCAAGGTCCACATGTATAACCACCATTTATGTTGTTGAAAAATGATGTTTTAAATGACTACGGTGTTGTTCTTGCAAAATTCTATTAAGCCATCCCCAGTTTCATTCCTATCACTAAGGCCATAAAATGTGTAAAGATGCAACCCAGGACTGTCAAACCGATTCTGACTCATGGTGGCCGTCCAGGACAGAGTGCAACTGCTCCACACAGCTCTCTGTGCTGCTCTCGGTACAGGGACGGATCACTAAGCCTCGCTTCTACCATAGGTCGGACCGCTGGCTGAGTTCAAAACCTTTGACTAGTGGTCGAGTGCTCAACCACTATGCCAACAGCAAATCAATGAACCAAAACCCAATGATGGATCCCGTAAGTAAGTATGAGCTTGGAAAGTATGAGGGTGGATGGTCCCCACTGCCTCCCTACTTAACTGTTCTTTTTGTATAATAAACATAAATTACTTCATTACTTCATCGGTAGTGGCTTTAAGTTGTATGGTTATTCCAAATGCGGTCATTTCACTTGGGTTTGAAACAACATAGCTTTGGCACCTGGTAGGCAAATACTGAATTGACGGTGTGCTTTTCTCATTCCAAATTGGGGCAGAGAACACCGCAAGCAATTTGATTTCCCTCGGGAGCGTCAGCAATACAGCATCCGTCATGTTTTGGGATCTTGCCATCTCTCTGGCTCTGTGCCGAACTGACTCTGCAGCGGTTACAGGTAGGTCAACCTACCACAGGCAGTAAGGCCTGATCCACACTGAGGGCCTTTGGTGATAGACAGAATCTGATGAGTAAGAAGTAGCCAATGCCCTTTATATCTGGGTAAAAGCTATGCATGCAACAGACTGAGAAATAAATCAGAAGCATGTTCAGATAACGTCCACCTCAAGGGTTTGAGGACCGAATAGTCTGGAATTCAATCCAAAAGGAAATCCTTGCTACCCCTAGAACATTGTATCACCAGACAAGTACAAGCCTGTCCAGATTCAGGATTCTGGAGGCAACGGATCTGAATTTGGGTGTGCTGCAAGCACCAAGTAACTCACAAGGTTAGAAAGATCCCATCAGCAGTGCAAGCAGCTTGAGTTTATGATCCAAGGGATCCGATGGTGCTTTAATGCCTGTCCTAATTAAAAGCCTGTGGTTTTCCTTGATAAGATTCACGGTGGAGGTCCCTAGAGTCTTGCAGCAGAGCCATGCTGGGTTGGCAAATAACTAACTCGTTTCAGAAGCAGGATTGGTTTGTTATTGGGTCCTGGTAGAAAGAAGCTGAAGGCCGATAAGTGCGTATCAGATGAACAAGCAACCTTTCTAAAGCTCTTTCTAAACTGGAGTTGCCTGATTAGACAAGCGATAAGTCAGTTGTGCCAGGCATGAAACAAAAGCGTATACAAGAGAAAGCTCTGGAAAATCCAAACAGCACTGCCAACCCTACCTTAACATGCTTCTGAAACACACACACACACACACACACACACACACCATGTTTCTATGATCTCAAGGGCCGTCTCCTGCAACTGACTGGCTGGAGAAGGAAACATTTACAGGTGGCTCTTCATGCTGAGCTAGTTTCAGTAATGAATGGGCTGCTATAGTCTTAGAGCCCACTTCAGGGGCAATTCTGAAAAACAATGGAGAAGGGAAATTCTTCCAGGAAGCCAACGGGCCAGGAGAAAGGGCCTGATGTGCAAATTCAGGAGTCCAAGACAGAAGTTAACTATTTATCTTGATTAGCGGTTCTAAACTCGTGAGTCACAACCCCTTTGGGGGTCGAACGACTCTTTCACAGGGATCGCCCAATTCATAATAGTAGCAAAATTACAGTGATGAAGTAGCAATGAAAATAATTTTGTGGCTGGGGGTCACCACAACACAAGGAACTGTATTAAATGGTGGAGGCATTAGGAAGGTTGAGAACCACCGATCTAGTAGTTAGCCATTTTGAGTGCCGGAAACTCAGGAAGATTAATGTGTTTGAGACTCAGCCAGAGAATAAGAATGTATGCACCTCATGTGAATGCCGGGCCATGAGAGTCCATCGGCTGTCGGGCAGCTCCCACGCTGGAGGCCGGAGGCCGTAATTTGTCTGCAAGCGCTGAGCATCTGGTCGAGAGGTGGATTTTCTTGCCTGACTACCATGTTTCTGCCAGGAACACCATGATGTTGTTGTTGCTAGGTGCGTGCCGTTCGGTCGGTTCCAGTTCACAGCAGTCCTGTGCACAGCAAAAGGAAACTCTGCCCGGTCCTGCGCCATCCCCATACAGTTCTGATGTTTGAGGCCATTGATGCAGCCACGGGGTCAAGCCATCCTGTGGAAGATCTTCCTACGTTTGCTACCTCTCTCCTTTACCAAGCATGCTGTCCTTCTTAAGGGACTGGTCTCTCCTGATAATGTGTCCAAAATATGTGAGACAAGTCCATCGACCTCCCACCCCGTGCCTCTAGGGAGCACTCCAGCAGGACGTCTTCTGAGACAGGTCTGTTTGTTCTTCGCCTGCCAGCCGCACAGACGGAGTCCGCTGGGGCTCTGTGTACTCCATCTGCAGAAGTCCATGTGTAGGGTTGCCATGTGTGTTGTTGTGAAAAGGTATTTGCTAGGAAGAAATCACTGGCCTTGCAAAAGTCTATCATGTGATCTCTGGCTTCATTTCTTAGTCTGGAAGCTCTGTTAAAATCTGTCCACTTTCGGGCCCCTGCTGGCATTTGAAAGAAAGACTGGAGACAATGCATCTAGCATCACAGCAACACAACACAAAACACTGACAGACAAGTGGTGGAACACCGTTACAGATCCATGAAAGGCCTTACTCATCATCTTAGAATTCTTATCAACGCTGCTCTTGTTCCAAGAGCCTTCCATTGCACCAAAAGGAGTTTCTGCCTGTGCTGGTGAACAATTTGGCAATGGATACTGGTGATGGTTACACAACATGATTGATGTAATTGGTGTTACTGAACTGTACACATGAAGAATGCCGAACTGGCAAATATCTTGGTTTACAAGGAAAAGAAAAGGGAACAAATTGAGGCAATGGGCTCAGGATTCCATTATTTTTTCCCCAGTGTCATCCAAAAGTGGCTGGCCTAAGAGAATAGTCCAGAAGATAATCCCTTGTGAGGTTGGGAGTGGCAACTTACCAGGTTAAGAGATGTTAAGACCTAGTTAAGGGTTAAGAGCCAGTTAAGAGATGGAGACAGGGCTGAGACAAATTTTCTCATGATTACTACACGAGTCCGAGCCCGATGGTGGAACGGGAAGTGACCATCCTGGTAACATAGAAGGAGACATGTGGAGCTGCGAGCACCCAGTCAGCAGTGTGACCCCATCAAGTGCTCCAGGAGAGAAGAATGAAGTTTTGTGATCCTGTCAACATTTGCAGCTTCGGAAACTCCCAGGGGCAGTTACGCTCTGACTCACAGGATTACTATGGATCAAAATCAACTCTGTAATCATGACCTCAGTTACTCCACAGAGCCTGTCAAAAAATGTTTCCTTTCTGCTCGGCAACTTTTTTTTTGTTTTTTAGGGTCCTGGTCTCAAACGTAAACTCACTATGAGTGAGTCAACTCCAATGCTGAGCAACCCTAGACAGGGTGGAACTGCCTCTTTAGATTTCCCAGGCTGTCAATCTTCACGGGAGCAGAAAGCTTCACCTTTCTCATGAGGAGTATTTGATGGGGCTTGAACTACTGACCTTACAGTCAGCAGCCCCATGTGTACCCCACTACACCCCAGGGTTCCGTGAAGTGCTGGTTCATGGGGGATATACTTAGAATGAAAACACAACAACAGGGCCAGTGACTTGGAAATTAGGATCTGGCCTCGGGACTGCAGGCAAGAAAGGGAATTAGATGTTAGTGAGGCGACTGCTTCACAGTCCAGGGAGGGCGGGGTGTGTCTGGTACCCACGGGTCCTTTAAAGTGCCTCCTTGGCCCAATGGAAAAAGTTAATGGAATTGTATAGTAAACACACATAAAAAAGATCACCAAGGGTTCAGAATCAAAGTTGGGGTTACTTCATCAGATAATAGACTCTAGTTAAATGAGGAACATGGACTTGCGGGACAGACAATGAATGTAACATACCTAACTCCCACATTCAAATCGAATGTCACTATAGGGCTGCATGCTCGTGAGAGGATGTAGGGACTCAGGCAATCCCAGGACCGGGTTCATGGTACGTACCGATTGAGCTCCCTGATGGCCCGGAGTCTGCGGATGTAACGGCGGCAGCTCGGCAGAATAGAGAGGTGGTGGGCGTGCAGGGTGAGAAAGAAACATTCCGTAGGGAACTTCGGCTCAGAAAATGGAGGCTGATCTCCATCTAGGGCAAATAACACAGGATCCTAAATAAAACGGATTAGCCTAATTCAGAACAGAAAACTACATGTAAATTTTCAAGGAGCTAAAGAAAACTTTAAAAAAAAATGAATAACTGTAAGTCATGTTAAAAAGAGGAGTGTCCTGTTCCATCTGTTGAAACACTTCTCAAGCTGTACACCAACAGTGTTAGGGGGATGGGTCTTCATGACGGACGCCACAGAAAACCATGCCCATTTTCAAGACCACACAAACATCACCTTACATCTCTAAATGGCATTGCATTGTTAATCCTCTCTGGTCCTATTGTAGGGGAGGCTGCCGTCTCTCATTTTGCATTCTGACTCATAGGACTGCTGAGAGCATCCATCCCCAAAGATTACTTCTGGCTTGTTGTCTCCCTCACCCCCAGCTTTGGAAACATAGTCTGAAAAGTAGACTTATTGAGAATCACAGTAGGATAATTTTGTTTTGAATCACAAGAATCCATTTTAGATCCATCATGTGAATTGATAACTACCATCTGCTTCTTCATAGATTGACATTGGTGTCACTCTGTTCGTTACCTTACAGAGACAGAATAGCACCTTGGGTTTCCTTGTATGTAATCCCTATGGGGATATGTTCTTCCTTCTACAAGTGTCTTTTTATTTTAGGGTACATGCTATTTATAATGTTTTCCAAGCAAAAGAATACTGGTTCTTGGTAAAAACGTGATCTTACACATTTACAGAAGTTCTATATTTTGAATGGTAGGCTGTTATCAAGCATATGATTCATATTTGTCTCTGTCCTTTTATTTATTTAGTCCCACTCTATATAAGATGTATTTATATAATAAAAATGCACATGCCTTTATGATCTGCTCCAGGTCTCAAATCATTCTATAATTCTCTCTCTTTCAGAGCTGGGTTAAATCTTTTCACTGTCTCATACTTTCTTATGAGAGCTTTAAATGTTGCAGGGTAAAGGGCACTGTGAGGACTGCGGCGTGTCTGACCCGTGCCATGGCCTCGCCAACCGCCCCATGGGATGCAAATCCGGACAATAAAGAAGAAGGCTGCAGAGGAACCGACACCTTTGAACTGTGGGTTTGGCCGAGGAAAACGGACAGATCTGTCTGGGAAGAAGCACAGCCAGACGCTCCTTACAAATGAGGGTAGGAGACATCGAGTGTTACTGGGGAGACCAATTCCTGGAGAAGGAGATCCTGCATGAGTGGCAGAGGGTCAGGAAGAAAGGGGAGGGCCCTCGACGTGGTAGATGACACAGTGGCTGCACAGGCAACGCAGGGTGTCCGGGCCCGGTGCTGTGCCATTCTGTAGTGCGTAGGGTCGCTATGGGTCAAAGCTGACTCAACGGGAGCCAATGATGACAATGACAATGACCATTTCACTCACAGAGTTCAGTCAGCCAGTCATTCACATCCTCCATTGTTGCGTTCACGCGCGTCTCATCATTCGGGAGCGTAATCCGACACCTTGGGTGGAATATATACGTAGGATCGACAGTCTCTAACTTGATCTTGGTGCTTAGTTGCTGCAGCACCCAAAGGAAATTCAGCATAAATCCGTCTGTCGATACCAATCTATCATCTGTCTGTGAAGTATGAAAGAAACCTTTTCAAATACTGGTTTTAATAGACTCTTTTGAGACAACTTCATATGAAAGGCGACCAGGTACGCAAACAGAACCTTATTCTAGGTCCATGAGCAGACACGCATCTCGTCGCCAGCACCATCAAAAGGCAGCTGCCGTTTGTGCAGTGTTAATCACATGTGGCTCTCTACACATTCTCCCACTGAACCAGCCCCAAACCCCATGATGGGTTCCTGGTACCGAGACTTCACAGTGAGACACCCGGATGGTGCAGTGCACTAAGCACTGGGCTATCCTGCTTGGGAGAACGACGCTGTGATCTGCGTCCATAAAGACCGTCCGCCCTGGAAACACCATGGAACAATCCTAATTCTGTCCCACAGGATCACTGGAGTGGGCATCGACCAGACGGCAGTGGGTTTGGTATTGTTTGTTTGCTTTTCTAGTTTACCGCGGAGGAAACGAAGGCTCAGAAAACTTAACTGATTTGGCCCAAGAGTCCTAAATGAACACGCAGAAGCACATTAAGTGCTGCTTCCTGTCTCTTCCTTCTCTCCCCTGAAGAGCATCACAACTAGTCTACCCTTGACTGGCAGTTTCTGTAGCCTATAGCATTAGTCACTCACAGCCTTGTATTGATGATATGAATTACAATAGTAGTTATTATGTGTTTACTCTGAACGAGACACTAATTTAAGAGCTTTCCATGTAGCAACACCATGAATTAGGTACTTTTAACATTGCCATTTGGCTGAGGAGAAAACTGGGGCAAAGGGAAGTTACTATATGAGGTCACACTGCTAGTAATTGGTGGAACCGCATTTGGAAATCATAAAACAGTCTGTTGGCAGGCCCCTGCTATTCACTACTACTCTGCACCTTTAAAAAAACTACTGAGTAGAAGTGTTGCACTATTCATGGACTATTTACTAATCACACAGGAACATTGCCCTTTTAAACTTCTCTACTCCAGGAAAGAAATCCCCGAGCAGTGCTAATGGTAAATTCCTGGGATGCTAAGTGAAAGGTGAGAGGTTCAAGTCCACTCAGAGATGCCTTAGAAAAAAATGCCTGGCCATTTGCTCTTGACGAATGGGCCACTGACAATCTTACATAATTCTGCTGTGATACATGTGGTTTACTCTAGCCAAGGGGTCCAGGCCATCGGTCTCCCTCACCAGAACTAATGCACTGACTCTGGTTGGGATGGCTCCTCTCCTTCCCTGCCTTTAGTTCATCTCTGCAGAGCAGTTTCTGTGGCTTTGCTGCTGGAAAGTCTCCCCATTACAGTTAGATTACAACATGACCCCAATGTGACGGGACTCCCATCAGAGCCCTCTGGCCCTCTGGCCCTGTCTTTCTTGAAAAATACGCTTCAGCCAGTTGGCACATCTTGAGTGTTGGGTTTCCACCAAGCCTCACTCATCCCCACCTGAGGCCCTGACACATGTCTAAAGCATTCTTTACTCAGCTTTGCAGATGGCACTGCCTGTCAGTCTCGGATCAAATGTCATCTCCTCGGCGAGACCTTCCCTGATCAAAAATGATTCTCAATCTTTCCTACTGGTCCCTTTCAGCCCCCTGACCGTGTTTTACTCGCTTTTAAAGAATAGATGCATTATGAACAGTTTATTTACAAGTCCATCTTCTATCCTCTGTCTTGCCAGACCAGACCACATGCTTTACAAAAGCTGGAAGCAGTGTTCCTGTACCCCCAGTGTCTAGGACCATGCCTAGAAGGTACTGAATAAACAGGAGGTGACCAAATAAAATTGAACCAGAAATACAAGTTGCTTGGGCATCAGGCCTACCTGCATCTGTGCCTTCTTCATATTGGCATTGACAATAGCTGCCATGTAACTGAGAGCAGCCTCACGGGTCTCACCGTTTAACAAAATACTATGCAGGATCTTGAAAAGCTCTTGCTGAAGGTCATTAGAACAAAAAGAAAGAAACAGAAGCATTTTATTTTAAACCCGAATCTTTTTTGACTTCCTTCCCACATTCTCTCCCCTCCCACTTCCACTCATTACTGGAGGACCTGACACAAGGAGAACATCAGAAAGCCTCAGGTTCAGCCTTGTCAAGGTCATTAGCATGAGAGTATGCACTCAGGTTGAAGACGGAGTGGGCATAGAGGAGGTAGGCAGGCAGAGTTTAATAAAATGGCTTTTGTTGTTTCCTTTCCAGGATCCAAATTAACAAATTACCCAAGACTATCATTTCTCTAGAGAAATTTCTAAGATTCTGGATGGAGGGTACATTCACCTACTCTTGGGGGAAGCAAACCAGTGAGGGGTGTGTGCAAATGAACAGTGTTTGCTCACCCCCATAAGTCCAGTGCCTGAGGACAATGGCAAGCTACACTCAGGATGTACTCCAAGGATGCTACTACATGGGGCAGCAGGGCACTGTGGTGGCTGTTCGTAGTCAAGACACGGGCAGGGCTCTCATACAGCTTAGCTTTTATCCATCCTGTGGAGTCCCTTTCTGAACACCTACCCTTCCCAACTCCAAGTAATGCTGCAGTGATTGGCTAACCACGCGAGTGTTCTCCAGGGTAATGGCAGGCCCTGAGAAATATTTTTCAACCACTTTAGCCTGGAAAGAGAAGGAAGAAACTCAAATCAACACAGTGTCCAGTTGGGAAGGCATTTCCGAGGACGAGCAGCAGGTGCTAACAGCCAATGCACTTACATCATCTTCTGCAAAGACAGAGAAGCTAAAGAAGGCTCCCAAATAAGACAGTCTCTGCAGCTCCCGGCCCGAGCCAGGGCTTAAGGACTTCGGCAACCACAGAGGCAAAGAAGCAACCTAGGCAAAAAAGGGAGAGGCGAATCAAATGGCTATAAAGGCAAGAGAGGTAAATGTTAGCGCACCAAGTTCCCAGCAGCAACAGGTTCGGCTGGCTCTGAGACACCAACATGTGGAGGCATTGACTCGAAAGGACAAAGCTCACAGGCACACTGGGAAGCCTGCTGTCATCTCATCACCTTAAAGGGAGGCCCAGCCTTC